AAAAAGTCAAGTCATTAACATTAAATACAACAAAAAATTTAGTTCCTCAGTTGCAGTAGCCATATTTCAAGTGCTTAATAGCCATGTGTGGCTAGTAGCTACCAATTGGACAGCATGGATATAGAACATTTCTGTCACCACAGAAAGTTCTACTGGATAGCCCTGGTCTAGAACACAGGTAGGATTACCCTTAGCTTTTTTTTTAGTGAGGAAGATCAGCCCTGTGCTAACATCTCTCAATCCTCCTCTTTTTTTGCTGAGGAAGACTGGGCCAGGGCTAACATCTGTGCCTCATCTTCCTCCACTTTATATGGGATGCCACAACAGCATGGCTTGCCAAGTGGTGCATTGGTGCGCGCCTGGGATCCGAACCGGCGAACCCCGGGCCGCCGCAGCGGAATGTGCGCACTTAACCGCTTGCACCACCAGGCCGGCCCCCCTACCCTTGGCCTTTGATGAAAGACATTTCCCCAGTGTACTAGAGGGAAGGCTGAATACAGCTGCAGATGGAGGCAGGCTTGCTTATTTGGTGGTGTAGGTTGAAGGAGTTCCTACTTAATGGCCTATATTTTATCTCTGCAATAAGAGCCAAGGTGTAGTCAGTCACTGAGGGTGAGTACAGTTGGGGGTGAGGAGCAGGGTTGAAGGTCTGAGAGGAGTGAAGATGGCTTGAAATAGTCATTATGGAGACTTGGAGAATTGCACTAAGCTGGCCGGAAAGTCCAGAGGGCCCAGCTAGGGTCAGTGACCATGAATTGTCATTCAGCCTTTTGCTAGGTGGATACAAAGAAAGGCAAGGGGATTGAGGGTAACTGCAGAAAATTACTGAGTTGGTGGATCACAGAATCTAAGTTAGATTGGGAGAGTAGAAAGATAGAAGGTCATTGACAAGCTGGGTGAGGAGACAATACACTGGAGGTCCTGATGAGTTAGGAACAAGCAAATAAGGAAGAAAGGGGTTTGTGGACAGAGATGGGATGCTTAAATTAGGGATTTTTAATGGAAGGGTATTTTCGAATGTTGGTAAGGTTCAGAGTGTAATCTGCTAAGAGCGTTGGCTGAAGTGGAGTGGATAAGGTCACTGAGGATGAGGATGAAGACATCAGAGTTGGCCAGCCATGTGGACTATGGAATCACTAAGGATAATGGCAGGAATTGGAGTAGGGAGGAAGACTCCAAACCAAGAGGATGCTAGACAGTTTGAGGATGTCAGTCTCAGAGGAACAGAGATCCTGCACAGCCTTGATGTGGTACCAGGGAACAAGAGGACTGATGAACAGGAAGGTCTCCTGACCCTGAGGAATGTGCTTTTCCTAAAGGACTGCAGGGGAATCAGGTTCTCAGGGGACAGCCAGCCTGCAATAAAGCCAGATACAGTCAGTGAAGAAGCTGAGGAGACAGGGGAGTTCCTGTAATCATGGAATTCCAAAGGGCTCCATGGATAGGTTTGGGAAAACAGGGGAGACTGGAAATGAAATAGGGGGAAAAAATAGAGTAATGTGGTAATGATGGTACAGAAAAGAACAGATGATAAGAGGAGCTTATCCTGTGAGTGGTTACTGAAGAAAACCAGTACCTGAGGTTTGGCGGCTAAACTGCCAGCAGCCTGTGAGAGAAAGGTGGACATCTGAGATTCAGCTGTGGTCCAGAAGTGAGACCAGGGGTCTGCAATACAGGCCAGCCCTCCCACTCTGTGTGGCCTACTGGCTTTGACAGCTGCACTGCATGTGCCGCATCCCTTCACCCGTGAGGGGGCAACTGCTCAATGCTCCCCATGATCCCAGGGCTGGTGCTATCACAGGCCTCTCTCCTGGGTACTATTTCATGGCAAGGAGGGACCTGATACAGCCTTGACATCTTTACTCATCATAGGAAGGCAAGAACATTAACCAAATGTTCAGCAATTTTCAGAAGTGCCACTAGCTCTTTGATATTTATTTTCTGGGCTTTAGAATAGGAATAAAAGGCAATCCCTATTTTCTCCATAATGTATAACTGGAAATTTCTCCTTAAGGCAGATTTGATAAAACAATTTTTTTCCAGAAGGGCAACATTATAACAGTTGGAGCTCCCATTCTTAACCATGGACTCAAGAGCAAAAAAGACCAACAACTATGAATCTTTAATTCTAAATAGTAAAATTATGTTTTACAGCCCATTAACTAGTAATAAAAGTTACTACACATAGTCCCAAAAGGAGCCACATATTTGGTAAAATGCACCACACAAACATACTGTCAAACTAAAACTGAGATGCTAATACATGATAATACATTTAATTAGCAATTTTACTTGCTTTCTCAGAACATAGAAGGGCTTTAAGCATCTTAAAATGGAAAGGTTTTTTTTTTCTGATTATAATCCTCTACCATACTCACTGGAAAAACACAAAATCACCAGCAATTCCAGCACCCAGGTGGAAACAATGTTAACATTTTACTATTAATATATCCAGAATTTTTTTCAGTGTGTTCACTGTATATACATTACATACATACATATAAAGAAACTATTATAAATGTCTTTCCATGTTAAAAATAACTTCTAATGTTTGCATTATTCCACAGTATTTCCTACTGAGAGATGTATACATGTATTTTTTCTAATTTCATACTATTATAATGCCACAATAAATATATTTGTACTTTTTTGCAAAATTGATTATCTTCTTAGGAAAAATTCCTATAATGAAATTGCTGGGTCACTTAAAATTGACCCTAGTTTGGTCTCTTGTATCAACTTACAAACTCATTTTCAAATATCTTTATTATCACAAGATCTTAAAAAATTTTTTGTTCTTATAAATCTGATAGTCAAAAACATCTTTCATCACTGCATCAATTTGCCTTTAGGTTAAAAAAAGGTTAAACTTCTTTTCATCTACTGGCCACGTGTATGTTGTCTTCCATGCATGGCCACTTCAAGAACCTTTGATCCTATAGCCATCAGGAGATGGGACTTTGAGAGAAAAACCAGACAGGTGGTTGGGGATTGACTAGGAGCAGCACACTGCGTTGAGGGCGGTACGGTCTCCCAAGTAAAGCACTGAGTGCAGGCGCAGACATGTGAGGGCCCAGGGAGAACATTCTGGAGAGTGAAGTCTTTCAGAATCTCAGGAAGTCAGGATGTGGATCCCTTTATTCTGGCGGAACTTCATCTAATGAAACAGGAAACTGCAGCCTGCTCTGCAGATCTGAGGCACTTCAACATGCAACCAAGTGAACAGAGTGGGTCCAAGGGCAATTCACTCGTTGTATCCCTTAGCTAAGAATGGTTATAGAGAAATTGCCCTTTACTCAAAGACGCGTCAACAAGAAAATAACAAATAAGAGGCTTATGGAAAAAGATACATGGGGAACATTGTCCTGAGATTTCAGAGGAGTAAAACTCTGAAAAGAATTTCCTATAGGAAATAGAAGAAAATGTGAGAAAGCTGTTTGGCATGCTTATTAGAGCACAAGAAGACACTACAGCCTCTATGAAAACAGGAGTCAAAAAGTCTTAGCTGTTTACTTTGTGTGTGCGTAGGCAATTTAAAAGAAATAACTGGCATGTATTACTTTTGTGATCAAGAAAACCTTAAAAAAATCAATATATACAACGTTCTAAACACATGACCACAATTATATTAAAAATATTAACAACATGTCAAGGAAAATTTAAAAACTGATTAATGTTGGTTCTTTCTGTGAGATCACAGGTGACTTTCCTCCTTACTTCTATCTTTCTGTATTTTCCAAATTTTCTGGAATGAACATGTATGACTTTTATAATGGGGAGGGGTTTTATCTTAAAAAAAATTCTTTACTTAATATATTATCATGGGGCCGGCCCCGTGGCTTGGTGGTTAAGTGCACGCGCTCCGCTGCTGGCGGCCCGGGTTCGGATCCCGGGCGCGCACCGACGCACTGCTTCTCCGGCCA